TTTAAGTGTCGTGTTATGTATATTGTCGGGTCCGGGGGCTTTTCTGTTTTTAAGTCTGCGTATTGTCAGTCTTAGTTCGTCAGGTGTTGCGAGGGATAAACCAACCATTAGTATGTTATTATCTAGCCTCCCTGATGGTTATTTATTTGCTTACTTCACTCGTTTCTATTATGCTCATTCACTTCGCAACACCTGGAACACTAGCGACATCCTGGCGGTAAAAATTATCGGTAACTTCTGCCATTTCGTGGACAAATTTTGACAAATTTTCCCGTACAAGTTCGTGCTCCTTGTCTAGTCTCCATGGTCTCAATTTTCACGTTCCCATCTGCTAATTCAATGATTTCAATGTGAAGAAGCAGAATCATATAAATGTGGTTATGGAGTATCTTTATTGTTTAATTTGTTTATAATAGTATGGTTATTCGTTATCAAAGTTTAGAATTCCTGATAAGAAACGTAATAAATAAATATGGAAGAAATATTTTGTGGGATGTGTCTAAATACTGCAAGGGTTTCAAATTGCCGGGTGATAGAAGAAGTCATAAGGGATGTTCTAAAAATTGTTTTGCCGCATGTGGTAAGATTAATTTTATGTCCGTAGTATAGTTCACTTATCCTTAATTGCAAATCCGTTTCAGAATTTGGAGGAGAAAGTTACACATTTCATATGTATAAAATGTTCTGTAAAATTATTTGCTGCTCTTAATTTTAAGTCTATATGTATGGATACCGAAGACATAATATTTCCTCACATTAACGCCAGTAAAATGTCAGTGATTGATTTAAAGGAAGTTTATCTAAAAGAGAAGGGAAATATTCAGTTAATGGATGCATCGGAAGATTGGAGAATCTGTCGATTATGTTTTCAGCCGGTAACATACGGATTTGTGGCATTAAATGAAGTGGATGTTGACATAATCGATACATATATACCACAGGTTGTAAGTTTTATTTCTTAGGAAAATATTTCTGAGCCAAAAAACAATCTTTTCCATAAACAGTATTCTATGTAAGTTGTATAGACATAAAATAACTTACTTACTTTTTTATTTGTCATATAAATTATTGAGAGAATTCGTCTTTTCAACTTTACATTAAATCACAATTAATTAACACCAATATTTTTTTTATTGTAGAATATCAGTGCTACCAGGGATCCTATTATATGCACAACATGCTTTGATTCGCTTCGTACCCATGGCAGTTTTTTAAAGAACTGCCTTGATGTACATGAGAAATATGCAAACGTTGATAAACAGTCTTACATTAAAACTGAAGAAATTGAAATAAAACTGGAAGATCATCAGGACAGGTAAGGAATAATTTATCGAACTTTTCTTTAAATATCTTAATGACGACGTATTTCCTAAATAGTGATTTAAAAAATTTTAAATTTGAAGAAATATATGATGCAGGTTCCTGTGGTCGTTACCGGCCTGTGATAAGTTGCACAACAACGAGTCTGTACTGAAAGCCAAGGCGATAGAGGCGTTTCACGGGGGCAACTTCAAGGAACTGTACAAATTACTAGAAGGTCACACATTCAGTCCCCACAACCACGCCAAGCTCCAGGCGCTCTGGCTGAAAGCTCACTATATAGAGGCAGAAAGATTGAGGGGTAAATAGTAACTTAATAACCGCTAGATGTCCTCGTTTATGTCCCACCGACAACAGTTCAACGGTGTATAAATATGTCCTTGAATATAAGCCAGCTGATTCTTGTTTTACAGGAAGGCCCTTGGGCGCGGTGGACAAGTACCGCGTCCGACGAAAATTCCCCCTCCCTCGCACCATCTGGGACGGCGAGGAGACGAACTACTGCTTCAAGGAGAAGTCCAGGAGCGTGCTGAGGGACTGTTACAAGCACAACCCCTATCCCAGCCCGAGGAAGAAGGGGGAGCTGGTCGAAGCCACGGGACTCACCACGAGGCAGGTCTCCAACTGGTTCAAGAACAGGAGGCAGCGGGAGCACAAAGACACTTAGGTGATGATCGGAATAGATTGAAATGTCTTTTTGAAACTACTTTTTTGGTAAAACTTTCAGTAGTATGTAGTAGTAATAAAAATAGTAATAGAAGGGAGTTCTCTTTTAGTGGTTTTTCTATCCTGGACTCGACTTGGAGTAGGTAGATCAGAGCGGGTCACTTAAATAGTAGGCATCTATTAATTTTAACCTCAACATGTACTCGAAGCGGCTTAATTCTAGCAAGCGTTACAACTTAGTCTATTTTTTGCACGTTTTAGTCTAGGCGTCTAGAATTTCTTGTACTATATTTATTACAGTAAATTGTTTTTTATTCTTCGTTCTTTTATGTCTGTGACACAATACTGGCTCGCCACCTGCGATTGCAGAAAGCCTTTTCAGATGCATATGTAGGGCGTGACTTGCTAATTAAGGTTTGCAGCTGTGAATGTGTACAATTGTGGTGTACGCTTATAACGAACGTTCAAATAAAAACGTGGTCAAGTTGGTTCTGAAAATTTGGACGTAGGGCGTAGCGTATAGCAAATGAACTTAAACGTCATCTGTCAAAGCGCTATCGCTATCAATTTGAATATTTTCGTTTTAAAAAGCGTTTAAAATGGTGTTTTCTCAAGAACAAAAAGTGTTTATCATAGAATCCTACTTTAGAAATGGACGCAAGATTGATGGAATATGGAAGTATTCTATTGAGGAATGTTTCATAGAATTTCAAAATCAATTTCCCGGCGTTGTTGAGTACAAAATTTTTCAAAGTGCAGTTCAGCGTTGTGTTAATGTTTTTCGTGAAACGGGCAGTGTAACAAGAAAAGAAGGAAGCGGCCGACCTAAAAAGCGGACTGAAGAATTAAAAGAAAATGTCCAACAAATAATGGAAAATACGCCAAGAACTTCTGTACGTGTTTTATCACAAATGGTGGGAGTATCAGTCGGTACCTGCCACACAGTGTTAAAAAAAGATTTGCGTTTGTTCTCCTATCGTTTTAACTTGTCAGCAACTTGTGTTCCGCGACGGGCTGTATTTTGTGAATGGTTTTTAAACAACTACGGTGAACTTCATAATATCACCTTTTTTTCTGATGAAGCCTGGTTTCATTTAAGTGGTTACGTAAACTCACAGAATCTGAGAATGTGGTCTTCTGACAAACCAGATAACTTTCTTGTCGAGGGCCCTCTACATGCTCAAAAAATTGGAGTTTGGTGTGCTCTCAATCGAAGGAGGATTTATGGACCTATTTTTTTTAATGGTACTCTTACTGCGCAAAGGTATAGAGAAGAAATTATCGCTCCTTTTGTTAACCAGCTGGAAGAAAACGAAATTACAAACTTTTACTTTCAACAAGATGGCGCAAGGGCACATACGGCAGGCAAGACGATGAATATGTTGAGGGAAGTTTTCCAAAATCGACTAATAAGTCTCAATGCTGAACATGAATTTCCACCGAGGTCATGTGATATTACGCCGTGTGATTTCTTTTTGTGGCCTTACCTTAAAAACACTATTTTTGAACTGCCTATTCCTGATTTAAACCATCTGCAGGCTCGACTTATAGACAAGATTCGTGAAATTAACAATACCCCGAGCATCTTAGAAAATGTCTTTAATTCTTTGAGGAACAGGTGTGAAAAGTGCTTGGAACAAGGAGGGGGACACTTTCAGCAGCTGCTTTAATTTATTGTTATAACAAGGAGGGGGACACTTTCCGCAGCTCCTTTAATTGTTTGTTATTGTTATCACTATTCTTTAAAATAAAGTTATATAGTCATTAACGTAATTGAAACTGACAGCTGCTATACAGCTCGTTGAGAAATGAGGTTAAGTTGGTCGCTATAAGCTACTCCCTACGTCCAATGTGTCAGAGCCAACTTCGACCACGTTTTTATTTGAACGCTCGTTATTTCAGGCTCCCCAAAAACCTTGGATCCTATTTTTCGAAACAAAGCATGTTATAGCGTACGCTGTTAATGGCACTTGATGGCGTATTATATTTAAATTTGTATGTAAGAAAAGTTCTTACAATATTTTATTTATATTTACTAAATTTTTATAACTTAAACAACAAAAACATCCGCTTTGAAATAATTTTCTGTTTCGAAAAACAGATTAAAAATGTAAAAAATTGAAAAACAGATTAATTATATGAGGGATGTAAAGGAAAAATAAATTGATCTTGATTTCATGTTAAAATAAATGAAACGACAAATTTCTTACTCTTGAAAGAAAATAATCATAGATTTAAATTTTTTAAATGAGCGAAAATAAAAAATAACTCGGGCTCTATTTTTTAAACAATATGTCCCAATAAAAATTATTCATTTAGAAATATAATTTACCCCTTGAAGTATGTCAAATATCAATTTATTTGTTTCAATACGCATTCAATAAAGGAAATAGAAATAAACATTGGTTTAATATTATTTCTCCAAATTATCATAAAAATTAATTCCGCAAAGTAAATGTGGAATAATGAATATTTCATTCAAACTATATTAATAACTAAGCAATTGTCTTCTACTTGATATTGTTAAACAAAGTAGTAAAATTATTCCTGTAGAAAATTTAAATGTAAAATTAATTAAAAAATTATTTGAAAAGTATAAAGTTCCGCAATAACACGCTATCAAATATCGGATATTGTTTTATTAAACTGTCAATTAAGTCATTCGGAAATAATTTACAAAACAATGTAAAATTATTCGAATTTACTAAATCGAAGCACTGCAAACTATTTATGTCAGAAAATCTAATTTCAATTTGGACTACCACAGTATCTAAAATTTCACAAAAAAATTGTTTATAATGAATATCAGTTAATTCAAAATTATATATTATTTTAACAACCGACCAATATGGTCCTATACAGTGAAAACGGTGAGACTTTATAAGGCAATTCTGAATAATTTACTGAGTTCTAATGATGGAAGACGCGCCTACAGCAAAGGCTCTTATAAGTAAAGGTAGTTCCAGGAAATTTCTAAAATTTAGGGTACATAATAAACTTTAGGGGTTTATATTCCTTCCTTTTGGTTTGAATTCACACTTCACTAAAATTGTTAAACCAGTGTGAAAATATGTAAGAGAAAATGATGTATTATATGTTGCCTACCTTGATGATTTCTTGATAAATAAGGAACAGAGTGTAAAAATGTAAGTTTTTAGGCTTTATTTTTAACATTTCCCGAATGACCCTAGAACTCACTGGGGAAAAACGTAGAAAAATAAATAAATGGGTAAAGAAAATAAAGACGCTGCAAGATAAGAATTTTTTCACAGTTTATTAGTCTACTTGTGTCGGCTCGCCCAGCCGTCAAATATGGCAAATTCTACACAAAGTCATTTGAAAGAGTAAGATATTTAGGTCTTAAAAACTCGAACGAAAATTATAATAAAATGTCTATCCCTGACACTATTCAGGCTAACTTAAATTGGTGGGAATCACGTATTCTGGTAAGTAAAAATCAGTTAAAAGATGTATTTCACTGCGTCGTATATAAGGATGCATCATCAACGGGATAGGAAGCGTATTGTATAGAAATATTTCTATCCAATACAATAAAAAACCATATAGACGTTTTTAAAATAATTTTATACAACCCACACCTTACAATATTTTGCCTTGTTCTCTAAACATATACAGGTAAATTCCAGTGATCTAAGAGGAAGAGACCCTGTAATATAATTGCACATTTATTTATTGCCTTTCTTATCAGGAATTCTAAACTTTGATAACGAATAATGGTACTTTCATAAGGAATAAAGCCATTCCATAACCACAGTATAACTATAACCACAACCATATTTATAATTTTCTTCTTGACACTGAATTAGATGATAGATGGGAACATGTTAAATAGCCCATTTCTGAGACGAATATAAAGATTGTAAGACTTATTCGAAACCACAGCACGGGTCGTATGAAATTTGAGCGAATAAGCCTGTCTATATTTTTTTATTTGTGACCGAATAGTGGAAATAAGGTCTATTTATTTACATTCAAAGTCTGTCTGAAATTTAACGAGGAATCTAAAAATATAATATACAGGGTGTTCCTTTAAAAAAAGTTGCTTAACGCTAACTATAGCTCAAATATTTTACAGGAGCGAACAATAAGCAACTTTTGTTTAACAAGTTTTTTGCTCACTGCAAAGCTCGTCTCGAAAATCAGGACAATCGAATATTGATTTTTTATGCTAGTGTGAATAAAAGGACATACAGTACAGCTGAAAAATACCGATGCATAAGAATGGCAAGGGGAGATTTTGAATATTTTTATGAAGATATTTTAAAGTTACTGTAAAAAATGCTTTCGCATTAAAATTTAAGTTTATGGATTAATAATAAGGGGTTTTAATCTATCAAACTTTGATAGTGGATAGAAAAACCAAAAATAATAGTACATAGCGAAATCTAAACTGGTTTTGGGATATAGGCCCCAAATTCACTTGCTTGTAAATAAAAATAATAATAATATTTATTATCTCCAATTTAAAGTACAATAGCAAAACATCTTACAGATATTATTTTAGGAAATAAAAGGTTAATATGTCAGCTTACTGATTTGGAAAATCAGGAGCTGTTAAAACCTATACAATTCTAAAATATTAGATACTTTTAAGACAGCTGAACTAAAAAAGATACATGTGCATGTATGGTATTGGTGAAAGAAAAGAGAATAGAAAAATGGAAAAAAATAATAGAATAGAAAAATTTGAAGAAAAAAAAAGTAAGAAAAAGTTACAATAATATAAATAATAAATATCCTCAGAAATAATACAGATATGTGCAGTTTTGGTGTACGTTGTAAGGGGTAAAAAATATCCCCTACATTTTATTTAAAAAGCAAATAATTTTCGAGTTATTATATTTTTTAATCTAAAATAGGTTTATTACATAACTGAATAGAGAAAACAACTTTAAATTGTTCACTTTGTTCGCAAACATTTACAGGAATTTTTGCCGCAAACACAATTTAAAATTTTCTAATCAGTAGTAAGGGGAAAATTTCTAAAACACTGTATTTTTGAGACATGTTTTTGTAATAAAAAATTCCAATAGTTTTTTTTTGTAAAATTAATAGTTTTAGAATCATGTTGAATAGAATAAGCTTGCTTGATTTTGGGATGGAAAAACAATAATTCAAAAATGATTGACTTTTTGAATAAAATGGAAGCAATACCTTTTTTTTATTGAAATCCAGTTGTCTAATTTACAAAATATTCAATGGTGTCAAAATTCTGACCATTTTAATGGTGGTGTCTCCCGGTATCTTTGCCACTGGTTGTGCGAGATTCTTGACTACAATATTTTACGGAAACTTAACTCCAGTATAACGCACACCAGGTAATACGGAACGCTTCATTTTTCGTGAAAATACAGTCAAGTCAGTAGTTCTCAACAGCTTTCTATTAAAAAATTGATGCACATTTAAATTAGACTTTTTTTATTATTTACATGGTCTACACAAGATACAATATCGTTGTTTAAAATATATATACACATTTAACATGATATAATCAGTCAAAATTATAAACCGTTTGTCAATCGGTAGATGGTTGCATTGTGAGAAATAGGAAAAGTGTGGACTCTTCAGTTCATAACCAGGTATTAGCCATTTCTACAAATCAGTTGCCAGTCCTCTTGTTTCAGTGAAATTTTCGTGTTTCAACCAATTTTTTCAAAGCAGGCTTTATGTTTTACATCTTATTCCAATATTTACGATCGGTGTCTTATAGCTCTTAAACAGTTCCATTCTTGACCGTATTTTGCATATCGATGGGCAGTAATTCACACCTGCAAACCTTAATTACCAAACCACACAGATCACAAAGGTAAATTTGCATTCGAGAAGGCTCTCTATGCTTTAACACATGATATATCTCCATTATTTGGGTTCAAAATTGAAGTCATTACATCTGTATGTTTAAACCTTCAAGAAATCTTTATGCTTCAACATGTGATGTTTGATATTGCTCTTGTATTTAGTTTCATAATCACAGTTGTTACACTTGTACATTTGAACCTGCGAGGGATCCTTATGTTTCAGTTTGTGCGCTTTAATATTACGTCTGTGTATAGTTTTGTAATCACATTTGTTACACCTGTATGTTTGAACCTGCGATGGATCTTTATGCATCACTTGGTGCCGTTTGATATTCCTCTTGTGTTTACTTTTATAATCGCAATCGTTGCAACTGTACATTTGAATTTGCGAAGGATCTTTATGTATCAGCTGATGCGTTCTGATATGACCTTTGTATTTAGTTTCATAATCGCAGTCATTACACTTGTACATTTGAACTTGCGAAGCATCCTTATGTTTCAGTTGGTGACTGTTAATATAACGTCTGTATATAGTTTCGTAATCACATTTGTTACACCTGTATGTTTGAACTTGCGACGGATCTTTATGTTTCAATTCGTGCCGTTTCATAACATTCTTGTACGTAGTTCTGAAATTGCAGTCATTACAACTATACATTTGAATCTGCGAAGGATCTGTATGTTTCAGTTGATGCTGTTTGATAGCATTCTTGTATTTAGTTTTGTAATCACAGTCATTACACCTGTACGTTTGAACTTGCGAAGGATCCTTATGTTTCAGTTGGTGTATTTGAATATAACTCTTGTATATAGTTTTGTAATTGCAGTCGTTACACCTGTACATTTGAATCTGTGATGGATCTTTATGCTTCAGTTGGTGGTGTTTTAAATAATAACTGTATATAGTTTCATAATCACAGTCATTACACCTGTACATTTGAGTCTGAGATGGGTCTTTATGCTTCAGTTGGTGCCGTTTCATAGTAACCTTGTATTTAGTTTCGTAATCGCAGTCGTTACACCTATACGTTTGAACCAGCGAAGGATCTTTATGTTTCTGTAGGTGGTATTTGATTTTCTGTCTGTATCTAGTTTCGTAGTCACAGTCATTGCACCTGTACATTTGAATCTGAGATGGATCTTTATGCTTAAGTTGGTGTTGCCTTAAATCATAACTGTATTTACTTTCATAATCGCAATCATTACAGCTGTACATTTGAATATGGGAAGGATTTTTATGTTTCAGTTGATGTGTTCTGATAACACCTTTGTATCTAGTTTTATAATCGCAGTCCTTACACCTGTACATTTGAACCAACGAAGGATCTTTATGTTTCAATTGGTGTCGTATCACATAAAACTTATATTTAGTTTCATAATCACAGTCATTACACCTATACATTTGAGTCTGAGATGGATCTCTATGCTTCAGTTGGTGCCGTTCGATAGTAATCTTGTACTTAGTTTCGTAATCGCAATCATTACACCTGTACATGTGAACCTGCGAAGGATCTTTATGTTTCAGTTGATGCTGTTTGATATTATACTTGTATTTAGTTTCGAAATCGCAGTCGTTACACTTGTACATTTGAATCTGCGAAGGATCTTTATGTTTCAGTTGGTGCGTGGTAATACAACGCCTGTATTTAGTTTCGTAATCACATTCGTTACACCTGTATGTTTGAACCTGAGAAGGATCTTTATGTGTTAATTGATGTTTGATGAAATAACCCTTATTCAATGATTCGTAGCTGCAGCCGTCGCATTTATAAATCGTCAGGTTTGAGGTGTTCTTATGTGGTAAAGCCTTGCAATTGGTTTTACAATTGAGTTCATCATATTTGCTGGAGTCTTTGTGTTTTAAATAATGACTGTTAAAGTTGGTCCTACATTTGGTTTTGAAATGACAAACATTGCACTTGTACAATTGTGCTTTGTGTTTCACCGGATGCTTAGCAAGGTTAGACGTGCACTTTGTCTTGTAATTACCTGATTCGTACCGGTGCATACGTATTTTTGAAATGTTTTTATGCCTCAATTGATGCTTCTGAAGTAACTTCTTATCTTTAGTTTCATACTTACATGATTCACATTTATACACTACCGAATCATTTTCGTGTCTCGCACGGTGTGCTGTAAAACACCTCTCGCTTCCAGTTTCGTAAATACATTTATCACACTTGTATGATACTTTGCGGCCCTGCTTGGTTTTCATGTTACGTTTGTTTGCTGCTTTACTCTCAGGTTTACATCCATCATCTGCTGCATCTTTCCAGTCACTCTTCTCAAATGGTTCATTATTGAAGGTCTCCGGTAGTGTGTCACTGAAAAAAATTACATATAGAGGGTATTTTTGAAATCCGGGATTTTTAAAGGGCTATAGGTGAAAATATTGCATTTTACAAAAAAAACATATGAACTCTGAAATTATTAATCATTGCACTGTGCCGGAATAAATCAGTATTTGCTGTCATTTCTAAGGTCAAAAACAAAGCAAAGTCTCAATTTGTTGCCAGCATATTAACAAGGTCGGTATTTCCCCAAACTCTTCAATAACCTAGCAATATTGATGATGATTCTGTATGGATGACCTGATGGAGTTAACCGTTGATACACTGTTTAGTATTTAAGTGAAATCATGACTTTATTTTTATTTTACTTCCGCTTGAATTTAGTAATTTGGGTTGCCTACAGAATGAGCAGAAATATGTGCAAATTTAAGTTGGTTTGTGTATTATCGTTGCGCATTTTTGTGTGGCAACAGAAAACACTTAAAAAAAAGGAGCTACGACTACCAGGTCGAGGAGAAGTTTGAAACAAAGGCATCACGCATGAGACCACAAGTCAAAACAAGCATTTTTAAAATTAAAACAGGTTTATATATCTGTTTTCTAAAATTTAAAATTTTCTAAATCACTATTTAGGAAATACCTCTCGTTATCAAGTACAATAAATTCTTAAAGTACAAAATTTAGACATTTCCTTACCTGTCCTGATCATCTTCCGGTTTTATTTCAATTTCTTCAGTTTTAATGTAAGACTGTTTATGGACGTTTGTATATTTCTCATGTGCATCAAGGCAGTTCTTTAAAAAACTGCCATGGGTACGCAGCGAATCAAAACATACCGTGCATATAAGAGGATCCCTGGTAGCACGGATGTTCTACAATTAAAAAAATATTAGTGTTAATTGCTATTCAATGTAAAGCTAAAAAGAAGGCATCTTTCAATGATTTATATGACAAATAAAAAAGTAAAAAAGTTATTTACCAATTTTATAAATACTTCATGTCTATACAACACTTATATAGAATATCGTTTTTAGAGAAGATTGTTTTCTGATTTGTACAAATACTCTCAAATATAACTTACAACCTGTGGTATATATGCATCGATTATGTCAACATCCACTTCATTTAATGCCACAAATCCATAAGTTACCAGCTGAAAACATAATCGACAGATTCTCTGATCATCCGAAACAACCATTAACTGAATATTTCCCTTCTCTTTAAAATAAACTTCCTTTAAATCAATCATTGACATTTTACTGGCGTTAATATAAGGAAAAATTAAGTCTTCGGTATCCATACATATGGACTTAAAATTAAGAGCAGCAAATAATTTTACAGAACATTTTACACACATAAAATGTGTAACTTTCTCCTCCAAACTCTGAAACGGATTTGCAATTAAGAATAAATTAATTACACTACAGACATAAAAGTAATCTTGTTAACTTAACTAAATTAATTACACTACGGACATAAAAGTAATCTTGTTTACTTGATCTTACCACATGCGGCAAAACAATTTTTAGTACATCCCTTATGACTTCTTCTATCACCCGACAATTTGAATCCCTTATAGTATTTAGACACAGCCTACAAAATGTCTCTTCGAAGATTGTTGCTTGCATATTTATTTATTGCCTTTTTTATCACGAATTCTAAACCTTGATAATGAATATTGAATAACGGTACTGTCATAAACAATAAAGCCATTCATAACCGCATTTATAATTTTCTTCTTCTTCTTCACACTGAGTTAGATAATTTGGAACATGAAAATTGAGACG